GCTTTTCTGCGAATGCCCACTGCCTGATTACTGACCTCGTTTTTGGAGGTTTGATTAAACGTCTGTGTGGAAGGATAGTTTGTGAGTGTCGCCCTCGGCGTCAAGTCTCCCGACTGAAGAGCAGCGTTCGTTGGACTCCCCATGACCAGGTCACGTTCTTCTAAACTCCACCTTCTCTGACGTCACCGAAGCAGCTGCACCTCGGCCCTCTTTAAAGCGTCGCAGGCAGTGGATCAAACATTTCCAGTCCTCCCAGTCATCGACCTGTTCTCTCTTCCCTCGGAGTTTCGAGTGAACTCTTCTGAGCTTCTGTCACGACAAACTTTCAATAAATTTCATTATAACTGAATTTTGGGTCCTCTGTGTGAACCATCACAAATTAAAGGGATGTTTTTAGAAATTACGTGTTAGAAAAAATGTAAGTTAGAAAAAAACCTGTTTCCGTGTGAACAAGCTACTGGTTTCAGACGGATGACGCTGCTGCTGAGACGAGAGGTGGTGGAGCGACACGACCGCCAAAAAGATCTGAGAAGTCCTGTTTGATGCCTTTGTCTTATTTTACAATAGTTATTAAAAATTAAAAACATTATTTAGCTTTCGTCACTGTTTGCTATATTTATGCTCCAAAACACGGTTAGTTTTAGGGAAAAACTGTTTTTATTTTTTATTTTTTTCCAGCAACCAATAAACTTTATTTGTGCTGCCGTTGAAAACCTATGATTTTATCAGAACAGAGGAATGCAGATCAAACCACGTGCACTTTTCTTTGGTCATTTTGAGTTATTGTATCGTAAATAATCCAAAATTACACCAATGTTAAAAATCTGTGGAGAATATTTCAGATCCTAATAAAACTGTGCTTTTTAAAACCTCACGGATCACCGGACAGAAACAAAAAAGTCTTATACTTATTACCAGAGCAAAATCATAAACTCATTAAATGTGGATTATTGAACATCAGATCTCTTTCCTCTAAATCCCTGTTAGTTAATGAACTGATAACTGATCATCATATTGATTTATTGTGTCTGACAGAAACTTGGCTACAACAGGAGGATTTTGTTGGTATAAATGAATCCACTCCTGTTAATTATTTAAATGTTCATGTTCCTAGAACAACTGGCCGAGGTGGAGGAGTAGCTTCTATTTTTCAGTCAGGATTATTGATTAATGCCAAACCAGTTATTAGTTATGATTCTTTTGAATCGCTGTCCCTCAGTCTTTCTCATCCTAAATGGAAATCAGAAAAGCCACTTTTACTAGTTGTTATATATCGTCCACCAGGAGCTTACTCTCAGTTTTTGTCTGAATTCTCAGAATTATTAACTGACTTATTATTAAATACTGATAAAATCATCATAATGGGTGATTTCAATATTCATGTAGATGTTGAGAGTGATAGTTTAATCATAGCCTTTAATAAATTAATAGAGTCATTTGGTTTTACCCAAAACGTCCGCACATCTACTCATTCTTATCATCACACTCTTGATTTAGTTCTGACCTATGGTGTAGAGATTAAGGACTTGGTAATAGTTCCTCAAAATCCTGTTCTGTCCGACCATTTTTTAATAACTTTTGAGTTTACATTAAATGACTACACAGTCACTGAGAGTAAATTTCATCTCAGCAGGTGCTTATCAGAAAATGCTGTAACCAAATTGAAACAATCTCTTCCATCAATGTTTCCTCTGTCTTGCAGAGTAATGCATCAGAGAACAGAGACTTAGATCATCTAGTTGATCATCTTACAACTTCAATGCAAACTTCACTTGATAAAACTGCTCTACTGAAAAAGAAAGTAATCAATCAGAGGAAACTGGTTCCTTGGTTCAATTCTGAGTTACGTACTTTAAAGCAGCATCTAGAAACCAGGAGAGAAAATGGCGCTCTACTAATGTTGAAGAATTTTATTTAACTTGGAAAGATAGTCTGCTAACATATAAAAAAGCTCTCCGTAAAGCTAGAACTTTATATTACTCATCTTTAATAGAGGAGAATAAAAATAACCCCAGGTTTCTGTTTAGTACTATTGCTAGACTAATTAAAAGTCCCATTTCTGTTGAACCATGTATCCCTACAACTATAAGTAGTGATGACTTCATGAGATTCTTTATAAATAAAATTATTTCAATTAGAGAGAAAATTCAAACCATCCTTCCTTCTACTATCTCTAGTCCCCTGTCAAATGAGGCAACTTTAAAAATTTCACTAGAGCCTGATTTATGTTTGGACAGTTTTTGTCCTGTTGAGTTCTGAATTGTCAAAAATAATAACCTCATCCAAACCATCCACATGCCTGCTAGATCCCATCCACATGCCTGCTAGATCCCATCACAACCAGACTGCTTAAAGAGGTATTTCCACTAATTAATGTCCACATTTTGGATCTACTTAATTTGTCTTTAATGGATGGTTATGTACCACAGCGCTTTAATGTTGCTGTAATTAAACCTTTACTTAAGAAGTCTGACCTTGATTCAGAAATTCTGGCCAACTATAGACCTATATCTAATCTAACTTTCATCTCAAAAATTCTAGAGAAAATAGTTGCAGGTCAGTTGCGTGAACATCTACAAAGAAATAATCTGTTTGAAGAGTTTCAGTCAGGGTTTAGAGCTCATCATAGCACAGAAACAGCACTAGTAAAAGTCACTAATGATATTCTCATGGCCTCAGACAATGGACTTGTGTCTCTACTGGTCCTGTTGGACCTCAGTGCTGCATTTGATACAGTTGATCACAATATTTTACTACAGAGGCTTGAATATGATATTGGAATTACAGGAACAGCTCTAAAATGGTTTAAATCATATCTATCTGATAGATTCCAGTTTGTAAATGTAAATAATAAATCTTCTTCATACACCAAAGTTAGTCATGGAGTTCCTCAGGGCTCAGTGCTTGGGCCAATACTCTTTACTTTATATATGCTTCCATTAGGTAAAGTTATTAAACAGCATGGGATAAATTTTCATTGTTATGCTGATAACACACAGTTATATTTGCCCATTAAACCCAATGAATCCAATCAGCTACTTAGACTACAAGCATGTCTTAAAGACATAAAAACCTGGATGACCCTTAATTTTCTCCTGTTGAACAGACAAGACTGAGGTTTTGGTTTTTGGACCTGAGCACCTTAGGAATGAATGTTTCAGTCTTTCTCCCTCCTTAGATGCATTAATCTGTCCTCCAGCTCTAATGTTAAAAATCTTGGTGTTATTTTTGATCAGGACATGTCTTTTATCCCCCACATTAAAAACGTTACTAGAACCTCCTTCTTCCACCTGCGTAATATCACTAACATTAGAAACATCTGATCTAAAGATGAAGCAGAAAAACTGGTCCATGCATTTGTCACGTCTAGACTGGACTATTGCAATGGTTTATTATCTGGGTGTCCAAATACTTCTTTAAAACGTCTTCAGTTGATCCAAAATGCTGCTGCCAGAGTCTGAACTGGAGTTACTGGGAGAGATCATCTCTCTCCAGTTTTAGCTTCTCTCCATTGGCTCCCTGTCAAATCCAGAATAGAATTCAAAACCTTACTTCTAACCTACAAAGCTCTCAACAACCTAGCTCCATCTTATATTACAGATCTTATTGTTCCATATTTTCCTAACAGAGCACTTCACTCTCAGGCTGCAGGTTTACTTGTGGTTCCTAGAGTTTACAAAAACAGAATGGGAGGAAGATCTTTCAGTTCTCAGGCTCCTCTCTTGTGGAACCAACTTCCAGTTTCTGTCCATGAGGCTGACACATTATCCAGTTTTAAAACTAGGCTTAAGACTTTCCTTTTTGTTAAATCCTATAGTTAGGGTCGGCTTGGGTTTCCTGAGCTGTCCCTTAGTTATGCTGCTATAGACTTAGACTGCTGGAGGACAAACTGACCACATTTTTCACTCTGCTACTGTCTTTACTTACTCTGCTCAACCTGTTTTGTATTTGTAATTATTTTTCTATCCTTAACATGTGGTTTTTTTGTTTTTCAGATACACCTGGACCTATATCTGGACCTGGACCTACATCTGGACCTGGACCTATACCTGGACCTGGACCTATACCTGGACCTACCATTCTATGTTCCTCTGTCTCTCCTTCCTGTCCTCTCAACCAGCGGGTCAAAGCAGATGGTCTCTTGTCCTGAGCCTGGTTCTGCTGGAGGTTTCTTCCTGTTAAAGGGAGTTTTTCTTTCCACTGTCTCCACTGTGCTTGTTCAGGATGGGAGACTGCAACAAAGCCAAGATTCAACTTGTCTGCTGGATTCCTTAGATAAAGAACTTTACTAACTGGCTTTTATGTGAATGTTTCTGTAAAGTCCCTGAGACAACTTGTTGTGATTTGGCGCTTTATAAATAAACTGAATTGAATTGAATTTCAACAAGATCCAAAATGGCCGCTACAGCTAACATGTAAAACACCGACATGTCTCCAGCTCAGTCCTGTAGACACGGAGCTGCAGGTTGGTGTGATGCAGACCCAAAGTCACTCTGCTGAAATGGTCCTCAGGTCTTTGTTTAAATCTTTGCATTAAACTGAGGACCAAGTTAGCAAAATATCTCATGAACTGCAGAACAAATACAACCTTTGGAGTCGACCTGACTCAAGATGGCCGCCTCAGCTAAATGCTCACAAACCATGTTTGAACGTGTCGTCGTGAACGGACAAGTCGTGTGAAGCTAGACTGCAGCTGACCCTCCAGAGCCGTAAATTAAACCTGCAGCTGGAAATAACTTCTGGTGGCTTCTCTACACGAGCGCACGTCTCTGAGGAAACCAGCGCACGTATCAGCTTCCTGTTTTCAGTTCCACATCGTCTTTGTTTGTTCGACCTCCTGATGACCTCCTGTCGTCGTCATGGCGGTGAGGTGTGGACGCTGCGTCACCATCATCATGGCTCCAGCTGCAGGAGGTGAAGGGGACCTGAAGGAGTGGCCCTGCCGTTTATGGCCCCACAGGGTCTAAAGTCCTCGTGGTGGAGCCACAGGCTTCAGATTAGCAGGCTCAGCTGAAGAGTCGAGACCAGAACCTTCAACCCGCTGATCCTGACCTCATCAGCCGAGGCGTCGCCGTAGAGGACTCTGATATTTGACACGTTTAGACGTTCGGTCGATCTCAGCTGGACTTCACCTCCTTTGCTGTTTTCTAACGAACCATGTCGACCGCTGTGGAGGCGACCGGGTTCATGATGGGCATCATCGCCTGGCTGATCACTGGGACGGCGCTCGCCAACGACTACTGGAAGGTCTCCTCGGTGTCCGGCAGCGTCATCATCTCTCAGAGGCAGTTTGAGAACTTGTGGCACGCCTGCGCCGAGAACAGCGCCGGCATCGCCGAGTGTCAGGACTTCAAGTCCATGCTCGATCTGCCCGGTAAGACGAGGAGGTTCTAGATCCGGTTTAAGACCGCCGCGTTTACACCGTTTTTATGTTTCACCTTAAAGAATCCAGTTTAAAGACAAACAGCCGCTAACCTGATCAATGCCTAAACAAACAACTCCCATCATGAGCTCCTTGTTTAAAAGTTTAATCAATAAAAAACTAATCGTCCTGCCAATAATTCAACAGAACTGAACGTTTGAATCGAAGAGGCCGTAACGGACACGAAGACCGTTAATTATTTATCTGTTGATCCGTCTTCTTGATAAAACTAATGTTTTCTTTGAAAGCTAAAAAATAAAACACGATAAAAACGTATCGGCCACATGTGGCCAAACTTCAGATCAAAGGTCGGTGGGTTTTACTGTCGGGACTTTCCCGCCAAAACCAAAATGAAATCTTTGTTTCAACAAGAAAATGTGACATGTTTTACAGCAAGTTTTTTTATTGGGAGTAACGGACAATTGCTGAATAAATTCAGTTGTTTTCCTCGTCAAGCATGAAGCAGGTTATCTTTAGCCGCCATTTTGGACGTTCTTCTCGGCTGTCGATAAAATGGAGGGAAACTGTTCAAACAGAAGAAACTGGCTCGTCTTTTTCCCTCCGTTCAGTTTTGCTGGATTTAAAGTAAAAAGTGTGTATTTGGTGTTATTTTTTAAAATAATGTAGTCTGCTTAAATAGATTTCGTTGAAGTGCACCGATAGATTTTAGTTTTTTCTTTAAAATATGATGCAACCGTTTGGATGCTCTGTCAGTATCCACCGTGTTTACCGTGTTTTATCACATTATTTCATTTTAAAGACATTACATCGTTTGGATGTCATTTTTAATGCTTTTATGTTGTTTGGAAACGACCTGAACAGGATTATTAATCTAGGTTGGGTTTAAATCCCCTCTGAAACAAACCTCCTGCTTCTTCTCGCAGTTTGCAGCTCAGCGACGTCTGAAACGTCCAGCTCGTACGGAGGCCGTAAAACCGTTTACTGAACGCTGTGGTTCCTCCTTCGAGCACAGCCGGTGTGTGACTCAGAGCAGAACAAACATTTTTACTGATAAAATCAGCCTCTTTATATTTAGTTAACTTTAATCACGCTCAGCTCAGGACAAACAAAGAATATAAGAAATTATTTAAATGATCAGTCCTAACTGAATGGTCTGAAAAGTCCTGGAAGAACACCTTATTTAAAGAATAATGTGGATTTTATTCAACATTTTAAATAACTTCAACACGAAGCAGATTTTAAAATGTTAACTTGATTTGAGGTCAAATCCTTTTAGTAAAAATCATAAATTAAGATTAAAACACTGAAGATTTGTTCAGAGAACCTGCAGATAAAAAACAAAAATGTGATTTTTGTCTCAGAGACATCTTTATTTCTTACAGCAGATTTATCAGAATTCAAAATAAATATATTTACATGTTTTCAAAATAAAATGAAAAACAAAAAATACGTAGAACGTTTCATACGGACGATTTCTCGTCTTTTCACTGACGCTGATTTTAGTTGAACTTTTCTTTCTGTGGAGTTTAAAGAATCATGGAACATTCGACTTGTTTACATTTTTAACTGACCTAAAGGAGATTCTTAAAGTAAAACTGACTTGTAGTTTTAAAGCTGGGAAATATTTTACATACCTACTTCACATATGGGGAGCAATATTATAGGCAGAAACATGGGTGTGCTATGGGGTCTCCAGTTTCTCCTATTGTTGCCAACCTGTACATGGAGGAGGTGGAAAAGAGAGCCTTGACGTCCTTTTCAGGGACACCACCAAGTCATTGGTTCAGGTATGTTGACGACACCTGGGTTAAAATCAAATCTCAGGAAGTCCAACATTTTACTGACCACATCAACTCTGTGGATAAATACATCAAGTTCACACGAGAAGATGTAAAAAATGGCAGGTTGGCTTTCTTGGACTGTGAGGTCTACACTCATCTCCAGGTCAGAGGTCACTCTTTCAGGGATGAAGATGTTCACATCCTGGACAGAGAGGAACGATGGTTTGAGAGAGGAGTAAAGGAATTCAAGGATTCAAGGTTCTTTATTATCATTTGCACCTCATGTGGTGGAATGAAATGATGTTCACAGGGTCCCAGTTACATCCAACAATAAAATGTAAAAAGAAAAACAGTGATAAGATCAAAGATATGAACTAAGAAAACATCAACTAAAATACTGTCAACAACCGTCCCCCTCTTACAATGCTGTCATTGCCAGAATCACTGCGCCTCCTGTGAATAGTAAACAGCCATCAAGTCACAAAGACAAAACGTTTCTACAATTTTTTGTTTTTTGAACCCTTCCAGAGGACCTGACTTGAGTTTTTAGATTTTTCTACCTGGATTATTGAGCAGCAGGAGATTATAAATACCTTTAAAACAACCAGGAAATATTTTCATGATAAATGTTTCCCAAACCCTAAAATAAAACATGAATTCATCCCAGATGACATGAAGACTGAAGGTCTCGGCACCGTGATGTGTGCTGTTCCTTTGATTGGTGTTTGGAGTTACCATGGCGACATAATTTACAAACAAAGACGCCATTTTTCTCATTGAAAATCACTGACAGAACTTTTCACAGCCTCTGGCACAGTGAGGTCACATGACCTGGAGTGATGTCTCTGAACAAAACTGATTAACTTTTGGAGCCATTTTGGTTCAAGATGGCTGCCACAGCTTCCTTAGAAAACACTAAATTGGCTATAACTCAGTCATTCTTTGAGAACTTGAGCTAAAATTTGGTTTGTTTGTAGCTGAGAGGAAGTTGTTACACATTCCTGATGCAAACTGAAAATCCAAGATGGCCGCCAGAGCTATAAGGGAAAAAATATGATAACAGCTATTTAAAAAAATATATTAATCTGAAATTTGGTGTGCTGCTAGCTGAGAATGTTCCCCATCACAAACTGAATCCAAATCAAAATCCAAGATGGCCACCATACAATGCCTTGTGGAAGTATTGGGCCCCTTGAACTTTTCAACATTTTGCCACATTTCAGTCTTCAAACATAAAGATATAAAATTTTAATTTTTTGTGAAGAATCAACAACAAGTGGGACACAATCGTGAAGTGGAATGAAATTTATTGGATGTGTCAAACTTTTTAACAAATAAAAAACTGAAAAGTGGGGCGTGCAGTATTATTGGGCCCCTTTACTTTCAGAGCAGCAAACTCAGTCCAGAAGTTCAGTGAGGATCTATGAATGATCCAATGTTGTCCCAAATGACTGATGATGATCAATAGAATCCACCTGTGTGTAATCAAGTCTCCGTATAAATGCACCTGCTCTGTGATAGTCTCAGGGTTCTGTTCAAAGCGCAGAGAGCATCATGAAGACCAAGGAACACACCAGGCAGGTCCGAGATACTGTTGTGGAGAAGTTTAAAGCCGGATTTGGATATAAAAAGATTTCCCAAGCTTTAAACATCCCAAGGAGCACTGTGCAAGCAATCATATTGAAATGGAAGGAGTATGAGACCACTGCAAATCTACCAAGACCCGGCCGTCCCTCTAAACTTTCATCTGGAACAAGGAGAAGACTGATCAGAGATGCAGCCAAGAGGCCCATGATCACTCTGGATGAACTGCAGAGATCTACAGCTGAGGTGGGAGAGTCTGTCCATAGGACAACAATCAGTCGTACACTGCACAAATCTGGCCTTTATGGAAGAGTGGCAAGAAGAAAGACATTTCTCAAAGATATCCATAAAAAGTGTTGTTTAAAGTTTGTCACCTGGGAGACACCAAACATGTGGAAGAAGGTGCTCTGGTCACATGAAACCAAAATCCAACTGTTTGGACACAATGCAAAACGATATGTTTGGAGTAAAAGCAACACAGCTCATCACCCTGAACACACCATCCCCACTGTCAAACATGGTGGTGGCAGCATCATGGTTTGGGCCTGCTTTTCGTCAGCAGGGACAGGGAAGATGGTCAGAATTGATGGGAAGATGGATGGAGCCAAATACAGGACCATTCTGGAAGAAAACCTGTTTGAGTCTGCAAGAGACCTGAGACTGGGACGGAGATTTATCTTCCAACAAGACAATGATCCAAAACATAAAGACACATCTACAATGGAATGGTTCACAAATAAACGTATCCAGGTGTTGGAACGGCCAAGTCAAAGTCCAGACCTGAATCCAATCGAGAATCTGTAGAAAGAGCTGAAGACTGCTGTTCACAAACGCTCTCCATCCAACCTCACTGAGCTCCAGCTGTTCTGCAGGAAGAATGGGCAGAACTTCAGTGTCTCCATGTTCAAACCTGATGGAGACAAACCCCAAGAGACTTGCAGCTGGAACTGCAGCAAGAGGCGGAGCTACAAAGTATTAACGCAAGGGGGCCCAATAATACTGCACGCCCCACTTTTCAGTTTTTATTTGTTAAAAAAGTTTGATAGATGAAGCTTTCATTAGTTTACACATTTCCCAGGAGAAATTGGTAAGTCGGCCTGTTCAAGGCCAACCAGGGAGTCAGATTCAGATAATCCACATTTGTTGATTTATTCAGGCAGACCATTTTTTCTTGTCAGCCTTGAGTCTGAACTGGTACTTCCAAGGTCCGAAATGTCCAGATTAAGGTGCATTCTACTGGTCCGTGCTTACGAGCCTCTTCAAGGTTGTTTCCGTGACGACAAGTCCCAAAGCCGCAGGTGGCCTGTGATTCAAATCACTTCCATCTTACGGATTAGCTCGTAAATCAGCTGATTTTGAGTCCTCCCAGTACGGATCAACCTTCACATAGGCAGCAGCCTGACGAGGTCCAGATTAGCTGCGACCGTCTTCTTTGTGTGTTGATAAACCAGGATCCAGACTGTTCCAAACAGGAAACCTGTTATCATAAATCCAGTTATATGGAATTCTGACGTCCTTGGTCGACAGCAGAGGTCGACACATCACCCCCAGAGACATATCCAGCTGCATGCGTGTCGTCTGAGCAGATGAGGGTTCTCCAGGACTCTGTCGCCTTGTTGAAAAGATTCTGTCATTTGCGTCAAAAGTCCAGTTGGTCAGATCCAAAACAGTAGTTTTCATTTCGGAAGATGTGTAAAGAATAGGAGCTGCTCCGACACCGACAGAGCAGAAAAGCAGGAGCAGAACAGGGAGAGGGAGAAACGCGTGCGCCTCGTTAGAGAGCCAGTGAGATTTTTTTTATGTACTTGTATTGTTTCTGTGAGTGTTTGATGTACTTGTACTGCTTCTGTGAGTATTTGATGTACTTGTACTGCTTCTGTGAGTATTTGATGTACTTGTACTGCTTCTGTGAGTATTTGATGTACTTGTACTGTTTCCTGGTGTCTTCAGCCCACGTGCAGGCGGGCCGCGCCCTCATGATCATCTCTCTGCTGCTCGGCCTCGCCTGCATGATCGTCTCGATGTTCGGACTCAAATGCATCAAGATCGGCTCGGCCACCGACGAGTCCAAGGCCAAGATGGCCGTCGCCGGAGGAATCCTCAGCATCCTGGCCGGTACGAAAACACGCTGAGTTTAACGAATGTGTCGGGGATCACTCTCAGCTACTACCAAATCTCAGCTCACTGAGTTAGAGATATTTTACTGATTCTCTGTGGCAGCCATTTTGAATCAGTTTGACTCCACAACCTAATCGGGCGCAGACGTTCGTGCAACGTTTCAGTAAAATCCACCCAGTGAGCCACGAGATATTTTGCTAACAGACACACAGACAAAGGCAGAATCACCAGCTTTGATTGAAACGTTAAACACTGAAAACACTGTGATGCACAAAGACTGTTACTAAAGAATAAATAATCTTGTTTGTTTGTTTGTTCTGCAGGTCTGTGCTGCATCTTAGCCTGCTCCTGGTACGGGGTCCAGGTGGTCCAGGAGTTCTACAACCCGGCCTTCGGAGGCGTGAGGTGAGTTCTCTGTAGGCCCGTCAGGTGAACCAGAACCGGTCCGGTGAGTAGGACTACTTGGGTCCAGTCGGGTCTGACAGCTGGTTTGTGTGCAGGTTCGAGCTGGGTACAGGTCTCTACATGGGCTGGGGGGGCGGGTCCCTGTCTGTCCTGGGCGGGGCCATGCTCTGCAGCGCCTGCAAGAGAGCGACCCCTGCTGGCAAGAAAGGGTAAGACCTCCACCTGAGGCGTGTTCTGGAGCTGTGGTTCTGACCCAAACATCCAGAGCGGGCCTCAGCCTGTGATGTCAGAACTTCTGACCCCCCCAGGTGTCTCACTGAGACTTTCTGCTTCTTGTTTTGCAGAAACTACCCTGCAAAGAAGGTCTACACCGCCACGGCCCGATCCGATCCCGGAACAGGCAGAGCCTACGTCTGAACATGCACATGCACGTGCACACACACACACAAACATGCACACACACATGCACACACACACTATTTTTCAGTCTCTGGAGGTTTTGAGGGGAAATCTTTTGTCGTGATTCTTTGAAAACTGAACGATTTGTTGATTGTTGTTGTTTTAAAAAAACTGTTTTTAGTTTTTATCTGAATAAAGTTTGTTTTACAAAAAAAAGTTTGTTTTTTTTCAAATCCAGAAGAGAAGAAATTATTTTTAATGTTAATTAACAATTTAAAAATATATCTGTTCCTTCAGGCTGCAGAAAAACGTGTGTGCGTGCGTGCGTGTGTGTGTGTGTGTAATATTGATGATTAATCCACCTGCTGACATGCAGAAAGCAGGATTACAGCCCGGCCTCTGCAGAACCGGATCGGCCCGGTTGCTGCTCCATGTTCAGTTTCTGAACAAACTCCAGGAGTCCGAACACGTCCAGAACCACACGTGAACCCAGAACCACACGTCAATCCAGAACCACACGCGCTAAAATGAGAAAAGTTAAAGTAGCAGAAGACTAGCTCAAATATCAGCAAGAAGATAACCGTTAGCCTTTTGACACAACACGAGGCTAAAACCTGAGTGGAAAAAGTTAGCTAAAAGAATCAGCATGCTCGTTAACAGCTAAAAGAATCAGCATGCTCGTTAACAGCTAAAGGTATCAAAAGGCCAGAGAAAAGTCAAAAGTATCAGAATAGTAGCTAAATGCTAAAAGTAGCTTAAGAAGGTGAACCAGAGACACGTTTCAACGAGAAGAATGTTTTAAAGGAACGTCTCGTGTATTTCAACGAGGAAATGTTTGTCATAAAATCAAAGGTTTAGAAGTTGTTAAAAACAAAAGTCCCAGCTCTCCTGAACGAGCTGAACATTTTGGAGCAGCAACAGCTAAAATAGCACAACGGCTGTAAAAGTTTCTATTGTTAAAAATAATAAAAACATACGAACAATAAAAAAATCAGAGTGAAATAAGAAAATACTTCAGTGGTGATCAAGGATTAGGGAGTCTTGGGTCGGGGGTTGAGTTTTAGAGGTTTGTGGTTCAGGGTTCAAGGGTCGGGGTTCAGGGGTCGGGGGGG